TGCCGGCTGCAGGTAGGTCGGTGCTCTGCGGCGGGGCCGCGGCCTTCCCCTTCTCCCCCTTCCCTGGGCCGGGGCGCGGGGTCCCTACGGCCCTGCAGGGCCAGGCCGCCTGCCGCCAGCTGTAGGGAGGCCGCGTCCCTCTTTCCGTGCTAATAAGAGGCCGCGAGTGGCCTTCGCTTGGCGCTGCTGGGGGGCTGCCCTGTCCTCGAGCCGCTCCTCATCGTCTTCTCCTTCTCTTCCCTAAGGCTGCCCCGGCCCGGCCTCGTTCAGCTCGCTCCCGCCGTGCGTCTCCGTCGTGGGGGGGTAGGTCGCAGCAACTCGAGGAGAGCGGGGACGCGTGTGGGTTTTGGGGGTGAAGGTGGCTACGGTGCTTAAAAAACGTCAGCCCAACGTGGATATCCGGAGAAGTCGCTCTCTCTCGGCTCTGTCCGTGTGGCGCGTGGGAGCGTAGGCCTCCGGGCCCGTGACGTACGGTCCCTTTCCACGACGTTGGAGAACAAGCCCGGGCCTCGAGTCCGCAGCCTGCATATTCCTACTGGAGAACCCCCCCCCAAGGAGCAATTACTTAAAATAGCTTTCCTTTATTTTTTCTAGTTCTAAACTTGCAAAGTTTGAAGTGAGTGGGGCACCGATTTGGAAGGTGAGTATTGCGCTAATGTACTATTGTTGGCTGTGCCTAGCTACGCGGTTCTCTTAATGGTTTATACTTTAAATAATGGTTTATATTTTAAATAAGCTTGAGCTATTTCTAAGTGGCTTACGGAAACTGAATTGGATTAAAGTAATGGAATACCAATGCAGACTTTGTAGGCATTGTTTAACAGCGAAAGCTTAGCTTAGGCGTTCCCGAGCTTCTAAGATTTTGCTGGACATTGGATGGGTGGGGGGGAAGAGGCAGATTCCTGAATCTTCTTAAGGAGGGGGGAAAAAAAATCCTTGGTGAAGTGGAGGTGAACGATATTTGCTAGCTTGAGGCCTTATTTGTGCGATACGGGAATTGGGGAAAGCGGAAACAAACTTAGTGGAAAGTCATGAAGGGCCTGGCTTAGACCCCTGTGATCACCCGTTCTTTGGCGTTAATCGGTCCCAAGCAGACTTTTTTGCCTCCTGTGAAGAAGAACGTGTCGTTAGTGTGGGTGGTGGAGCGCTGGGACTGTCCTGGGGCGAAGGCACGTGGTAGGCACGTGTCACGCTTGGTTAGGACCGGGAAAATGTGGCTGGACTTCACCTGATCATCACCCATCGTATCTAATGGGTTATGTGCTTCCTGCCAAGTAGTAAGCTTTCTTAATTTTCTGATTTTTTTATAAATCGTTGCAGATACTGCTGACCGATTGTGACGAGATGCTAACAACAAAGAATCCACATGTCTAGTGGGAGGCTGTGACGAGATGCTAACAACAAAGAATCCAAGTGTCTAGTGGGAGGTGGGTGAGTATATTGAGAGTACCAGCCCGGATAATTATAAATAGAGGTGATAGCTAAGGTTCAGTTCACGCAGCATGTGTAATCAAAAGGTAGCGGCAGAGATCAGAACGGGCTGGCCGCAGGAGGACATGCCTGCATTTGGTGGCTTTCCGACAGCACGCGCCTCACACTGGGGACTGCCCGTTAAATGGCCTGTATCGGAAGAAAAGGCAGGAGCGTACCTGGTCGCGCGGTGGGTTAGGTAGCTGCTGAGTTTTGTGGTACAATGAAGCAGGGCCTGGGGCTGAGCCTGCGTGGGTGAGCTTACACGCGAGGAAAGCAGATGGAGCCATGGGGCTATGGTGAATTGGGCATGTACACGCCCGAAAGGTGCCCCCAAAGTCAAGGGCAGGACTCTGGGTGGCCTGGCCCACCAGGAGAGAGCTACCTTCGGGGTGCTCTCAAAGGGTGGGAGCCCAGGGTGTGAGAAAGGAATAAGAAGAAAGAAGCCGCGTGCTCTCTGTGTGGACTTGCCGTCGGCGGATGGGCAACAATGCCACCCATCGGTGGGGCCACCCTTGATGCCAGCTGCCGGGGAAGACGTGATGCGACCCGATGTGTGGCGAGGACATGCCGGGGGAAGCCGATACTGGAGGGGTGGCTCGTGGGCTGTGGGCGAGAGCAGTGTTACCCGAAATAAGGCCTTAAAGTATTGACTGATTGTAAACGTACCTGGCTGCAGTAGAGAACTAAATAAACTTGACTTTTTTTTGCTTGGTGTGCATTTCTTTGTGAGTTGATCACTTGGTTAGTCCCGGAATATGAAAGAAATCCCGGACGCTACTGTTGGTGCCTCTCGCTTGGAGTCAGAAGTGGGATTCCGGCGTGCTGTTCCTGTGTCCTCTCGGGAGCGTGATGGTGAAAGGTGCAGAAACCCACTTCAAACCCACGTCATTAGCTGTCCGGGCTGGATTAGGAGCAGGCGATAGCTTTAGTGTAGCTTTGGATCACTTCATGGCAGATTTACCTTTATATCGGCCGTTAAGGGCTAAACCCCGAACGGTTAATACAGTCTGTACCCCGGGATTGCTGCTGGGGGGGGAATGACAAGTCCCACTTGCCTGCAAAAGGGCAACAATGCTGATGGCAGCAGCAGCTTCTGTGGAGGTGATGCTTAAATAAAGGGTTAAAATGCAAATGGATCAATGAGTTGCCTGCTGCCACCCTCCAGCAATTGCCTGGATATCCTGCCCTTGCCCCACCTGAAACCTGGAGGGGAAGGGTCGGGTAATGGATGGGCACCAGCGGAATAGGAAAGATTCGCTGTTGGCAGGCGTGGGCCGTTGGTTTGCTGTTGCCACAAGAAATTCGGTCTGGTTCCTGCTTCAAGCATGGAAGTGGCCTTCCCGCCTGACTGAAGTGGTGGAATGATGGAAAGGTGGAGCGGTCTAGAAGGATGAGGACGGAGGACCACAATGGGGACGAACCCCTGTGGTCAGTACTGTGTGCCCTAAACAATCAGCAAACTCCCACGGGAAGCCAAATAGATAAAGCTTTTGGCTTTAGATAATTGTATTGTAATAATTATGAGGACCAGAAAGTTCCAAGGCTCCCGTAACTGGACTCTAAGGAGTCCTTGCAAGTCTAAGGAGTCCAGTTGTAGGGATGAATCCGTGATGACAAAACGACACCGTTCTGAAATAAACAGAATCCTGGAACCTTGCTCTGAACGTTTGGCACAAACTGCTTAAAGTTGGCCGGTCCCGGTTCCACACGTTACAATTGACAAAGGAAGGGTTGAGTACCGACAGCAGCTTGGAAACCTGCCGTCCAAACGACGATTGACCCTTCCGAACGGTCCGATTGGGTCACACGTGCTTAATAAAACTCGGTTCCTCTCTCCGCCAGCATCATGACGGTGCGAGGCAGGGTGGTGGCCCACCGTTCCAACGCCTGCCTCTGGCCCTGGGGCACTGATGTCTGCAAGAGTCCTCCGCCTCCGTGGGCAGGAACCTCTACGAAAGCCTTTTTATGTCGCGAACGAGATGCTTTTAATCCCCTGGTAGAAGGGTCAGCGACTTTTCATCGCCTTGTGCAATCGCCGTTTCCACAGTTAGGCATTCCTGAGCTGGAGAAGGCCGTCACAAACAACTCTGCTACGCTTGAAATGGTTCAAAACGCTACTGTAGATGCTTTGAAAAATTCACGGTCCAAATCGGCTCGCGCTCTCAGTTAACTGCCCAGAATCGATGGACTTCAGACTACCTCCTAGCGTCGCGAGGGGCGTGTGTGTTCCTGAACTTGTTGCTTTTGTACAAACCAATCCAAACAGATCGAATAGGACGCGAGTTAAAATAAGTTTGTATCTTCCATGAAATAGCTCAAGAGCAACCTCTGTTAGATGGCATCTGGGCTACGGTCCTGGCTACCGGGCCTCGGAGCGTGGACCTGCCGGATTTTGTTAATACTCTTTGTCTTGCTTCATTGTCGTCATCCCAGTTAGTCTCTTCTTGCGTTAAATATCTTATTTTTTGCTGCAGATCTGTCCCCTAACCGCTGAACCCGTAGCTGCCCGGCCGGGGGGGGG